GAATTTAAGATCGTCTGGGGAGGCCCTGCTCTCGGTCCCGCCTGCCTCACATGCGTGCTTGGCGGGGCCTTCTCAGTGGTGGCCCCTCGGCTGTGGAACTCCCTCTCTGGGGATATTAGGTCGGTCCCCTCCCTCCTGACTTTTAGGAAAAGAGTAAAAACCTGGCAAGTTTTTGGAACCTCATAGTAACCAGATACACTCAGTATTGTGAACGACTATGGAACGGCTTAACTATGCAAATGGACATGGATTTAAACCTGGAAGTCATTGACTTTTATAGTTTTAAATTGTTTTTTTAAATATGAATTTTATTATGTGATTTAACCTGTTTCCAACAATGTATTTATGTGTGTTCTAATTGTTGTTCTAATGTCATCTAATTGTTGCAAGTCTGAGTCACGGGATAAAACTGTGGTAAATAATAAATAAATAAATAAATAAAAATACAGGAAAGAAGACGCTTACTTCTTGGGAGGAGAGCAATGTCCAATCTCGATAAAATAGTAAAGAGTAGAGACATCAGAATTGCAACAAAGATCCGCCTAGTCAAAGCCATGGTATTCCCTGTAGTAACCTACGGATGTGAGAGCTGGACCTTAGGGAAGGCTGAGCGAAGGAAGATCGATGCTTTTGAGCTGTGGTGCTGGAGGAAAGTGCTGAGAGTGCCTTGGACTGCGAGAAGATCCAACCAGTCCATCCTCCAGGAAATAAAGCCCGACTGCTCACTGGAGGGAAAGATACTAGAGACAAAGTTGAAGTACTTTGGCCACATCATGAGGAGACAGGAAAGCCTAGAGAAAACAATTATGCTGGGGAAAGTGGAAGGCAAAAGGAAGAGGGGCCGACCAAGGGCAAGATGGATGGATGGCATACTTGAAGTGACTGGACTGACCTTGAGGGAGCTGGGGGTGGTAACGGCCGACAGGGAGCTCTGGCGTGGGCTGGTCCATGAGGTCACGAAGAGTCGGAGACGACTGAACGAATGAACAACAACAAAACATGGAAAGAAAGGAGATTCCACCTGAACATGAGGAAGAACTTCCTAATTGAGAGCTGTTCAGCAGTGGAACTCCCTGCCTCAGAATTAGGTGGAGGTTCCTTCTTTGGAGGCTTTTAAGCAGAGGCTGGATGGCCATCTGTTGGGAGTGTTTTGAAGGTGATTTTCCTGCTTCTTGGCAGAATGGGGTTGGACTGGATGATGGCCCACCAGGTCTCTTCCAACTCTAGGATTCTATGGTTCTATATAATCCAGTTCAAAGCAGATAATGTGGGATTTCATACAACTGTGTGGAAGGGGTGAAAAGAAAGAAAGAAAGAAAGAAAGAAAGAAAGAAAGAAAGAAAGAAGAGGAAAAGAGAGAAAGAAAGGGAAAGAGAAAGAGAGAGAGAGAGAAAGAAAGAGAAAGAAGGAAGGAAGTAGGGAGGGAAAGAAAGAGAGAGAAAGAGGGAAAGAAAAGGAGAGGAAGAAAGAAAGAAAGAGAGAGTGAAAGGAAGGAAGAGGGAAAGAAAGAAGGAAGGAGGGAGGGAGGAAAAGAAAGATAGAGAGAGGGGGGGAAGAAAGAGGGAAAGAAAGGGAGAGAGGAAGAAAGAAAGGGAGAAAGAGAGAGAGAAATAGGGAAAGAGAAAGAAAGAGAGAGTGAAAGGAAGGAAGAGGGAAAGAAAGAAGGGGGGAGGGAAAGGAGGAAAGGAGGAAAAGAAAGAGAGAGAGAGAAAGAGGGAAAGAAAGGGAGAGAGGAAGAAAGAAAGAGAGAGAGAAAGAGGGAAAGAAAGAACGAAAGAAAGAAAGAAAGAAAGAAAGAAAGAAAGAGGGAAAGAAAGAGGGAAATAAAGAGAAAGAGAGAGAGAAAGAGGGAAAGAGAAAAAGAAAGGAATAGAGAGAGAAAGAAGGAGAGAGAAAGAGGGAAAGAAAAATAGAGAGAGAAAGAAGGAGGGAAAGAAAGGGAGAGAGGAAAGAAAGAGAGGGAGAGAGAAAGAGGGAAAAAGAGAGAGAGAGAGAGAGAGAGAGAGAAAAGAAGAAAGAAGAAGAGAAAGAAGGAAGGAAGGAGGAGAGGGAAAGAAAAGGAGAGGAAGAAGAAAGAAAGAGAGAGAAAGAGAAGAAAGAAAAAGGAAGGAGGGAGGGAGGAAAGAAGAAAGGGGAGAAAGAGGAAGAAAGGAAAGAAGAAGAAAGGAGAAAGAGATAGAGAAAAAGAAAGAAAAGAGAAAGGAGGGAGGAGGAAAAAAAGAATAACAAGTTTCCCTTGTTGTAATGGCTAAAGAAAGGAGGCAGGGATGGGAGAGGAAATAAAGGGAAGAGGAAGGAAAGAAAGGGTAAAGAAGGAAGAGAGAAAGGAAGAAAGAAAGAAAGAAAGAAGAAAGAGGAAAGAAAGAGGGAAGGAAAGAAAAGAGGGAAGGAAGGAAGGAAAGAAGAAAGAGAAGGAAGGATGGAAGCAAAAAGTGAAGGAAGGAAAGAGGAAGAAGAAAAAAGAAAAGGAAGGAAAAGAAAGAGGGAGAGAAAAGAAGGAAAGAGAGAGAAGAGAAAGAAATAAGGAAGGAAGGAAGGAAGAGGGGAAAGAAAGATAGAGTGCTTGATGCTATATGCGGAATAATAATAATAATAATAATAGTAATATTCCGTGTCAGGAGCGACTTGAGAAACTGCAAGTCGCTTGTGGTGTGAGAGAATTGGCAGTCTGCAGGGACGTTGCCAAAGGGATGCCCATAAAGGAAGGAAGAGGGAAAGAAAGAAGGGGAGGGAGGGAGGAAAAGAAAGATAGAGAGAGAGAGAAAGAGGGAAAGAAAGGGAGAGAGGAAGAAAGAAAGAAAGAAAGAAAGAGAGAGAGAGAGAGAGAGAGAGGGAAAGAAAGAAAGAAAGAAAGAAAGAAAGAGGGAAAGAAAGAGGGAAATAAAGAGAAAGAGAGAGAGAAAGAGGGAAAGAGAAAAAGAAAGGAATAGAGAGAGAAAGAAGGAGAGAGAAAGAGGGAAAGAAAAATAGAGAGAGAAAGAAGGAGGGAAAGAAAGGGAGAGAGGAAAGAAAGAGGGAGAGAGAAAGAGGGAAAGAGAGAGAGAGAGAAAGAAAGAGAAAATAAATATAAATATTAGAAGGAAGGAAGGAGAAAGAAAGAAAGAAAGAGGGGGAGAGGGAAAGAAAGAGAGAGCAGGGAGAGAAAGAAGGAAGGAAGGAAGGAAGAAAAGAAAGAGAGTGGGGGGAAAGAAGGGGGGGAGAAGGAAAGGAAGAAAGAGAGAGAGCTCTCCCACACATCCATATAACCCAGAATATCAAGGCACATAATCCACAATATCTGCTTTGAACTGGATTGTCTGAGTCCACACTGCCATATAACCCAGTTCAAGGCAGATAATGTGGGATTTTATACAGTTGTGTAGAAGGGGCCAGAGAGAGAGAGAGAGAGAGAGAGAGAGAGGGAGGGAAGAGGGAGGGGAGGAGGGCGGCCCAAGGTCTGTCCCCGGCGGGGGCGGCGTCGGGGGCGAGGCCGGCCCCTTTGGATAAAAGGAAGGAAGGAAAGAAGGAAGGAAGTGTGGAGAAGGAGAGCGAGAAGGAAAGAGTTCTCCTCTGCTCTCCCGGCGGAGGAAAGGAAGGGAGAGAAGAAAGAAAGAAGGAGGAGAGGGAGACCCAAGCACCTCTTGCTCTCCTTCAAAGCTCCCCTTGCTCTCCTCCCAAAGATACGGCGGAAGGAAGGAAGGAGTGAGGAAAAGGAGAGGAGGACGGAGCCCATAGTCCTGAAACTCTCCTTGCTCTGCTTCAAAGCTTCCAGGAAAGAAAGAAAGAAAGAAAGAAAGAGAAGGAAGAGGTCTATCCAGGAGAGGGAGACCCAAGTCCTGAAGCTCCCCTTGCTGTCCTTCAAAAGCTTCGTCGGAAGGAAGGAAGGAAGTAAAGGAAGAGGAGAAGGAAGAGAAGAGGGAGAGCCGAGTCCTGAAGCTCCTCTTTCTCTCCTTCAAAGGCTTCGACGGAAGGAAAGCAAGTAAGAGGAGGAGGAGACAGAAGAGGAGACGGAGACAAGCCCCAACTCTCTTTGCTCTCCCTCAAAGCTTCGACGGAAGGAAAAAAAAGAAAGGAGAGAAGGAGGAAGGCGATCCAGGAGAGGGAGAGAGAAGTCCTGAAGCTCCTCTTGCTGTTCTTTAAAGGCTTCGGCGAAAGGAAGGAAGGAAGGAAAGGAAGAAAGTAAGAGGAGAAGGAAGAGAAGAGGGAGACCCAAGTTCTGAAGCTCCGTCCAAAGCTTCGACAGAAGGAAGGAAAGGAAAGGAGGAAAGCGATCCAGGAGAGGGAGAGATAAGTCCGGAAGCTCCTCTTGCTGTTCTTCAAAGGAAGGAAGGAAGGAAGGAAGAGGAGAAGGAAGAGAAGAGGGAGACCCAAGTTCTGAAGCTCCCTTTGCTGCCCTTCAAAAGCTTCGAGGCAAGGAAGACAGGAGGAGGAAGGCGGTTCAGGAGAGGGAGAGAGAAGTCCTGAAGCTCCTCTTGCTCTCCTCCTTCAGAGCCTGAGCAGAAGGAGGAGAAGAGTCGAAGAGAAAGAGAAGAGGGAGACCCGAGTCCTGAAGCTCCCTTTGCTGTCCTTCAAAAGCTTCGAGGCAAGGAAGAAAGGCGGAGGAAGGCGGTTCAGAAGAGGGAGAGAGAAGCCCTGAAGCTCCTCTTGCTGTTCTTCAAAGGAAGGAAGGAAGAGGAGAAGGAAGAGAAGAGGGAGAGCCGAGTCCTGAAGCTCCCCTTGCTGCCCTTCTAAAGCTTCGAGACAAGGAAGAAAGGAGGAAGAAGGCGGTTCAGAAGAGGGAGAGAGGAGTCCCGAAGCTCCCCTCGCTCTCCTCCTTCCGAGGCTGAGCAGAAGGACGAGAAGAGTAGGCGAGGAAGAGAAGAGGGAGACCCAAGTCCTGAAGCTCCCCTTGCTCTCCTCCAAAGCTTCGACAGAAGGAAGGAAAGAAAGGAGAGAAGGAGGAAGGCGATCCGGAAGAGGCAGAGATAAGTCCGGAAGCTCCTCTTGCCGTTCTTCAAAGGAAGGAAGGAAGAGGAGAAGGAAGAGGAGAAGGAAGAGAAGAGGGAGACCCAAGTCCTGAAGCTCCCTTTGCTGCCCTCCTAAAGCAAGGAACACAGGAGGAGGAAGGCGGTTCAGAAGAGGGAGAGAGGAGTCCTGAAGCTCCTCTTGCTCTCCTCCTTCAGAGCCTGAGCAGAAGAAGAGCAGAAGAGAAGAGGGCGATGCGTGCCTGCTCTTAGCGCCCCATGGAGCGCCTTCCGGGGCCCTTCTTCGAGGCGGAGGCGCCTCTGCCTTCCCTCCTTCCCCAGGGGCATCCCTCCTTCTTGCACCCGCTGCCCGCTCCCTGTGGCGCCCATTCTTCCTCCTCGTGCTTGCCGGGGGAGCCTCTCCCGGGGGGCGAGATCTGCGAGCACGAGACCTCCATCGACTTGAGCGCCTACCTGGACCCGGGCGCCTTCCACGACGAGTTCCTGGCCGAGCTTTTCCAGCAGCAGAGGGGAGGGCAGACGGCCCAGGCCAGCCCCATGCCGGGGCCCCACGCCTCCTACGGCGGGCTCTACGCCGAGAAAGGGGGCTTCCACGGAGGGTACGCGATGCCCGCGGTGAGGGTCAAGCAAGAACCCCACGAGGAAGAGGAAGAGGAAGAGGAAGAAGAGGAGGAAGCCGCCTCCTTGGCCCCCCTCTACTCTCAAGCCGCCCGCTGCGCCCAGACCACCGTCCTGCTCCTGCAACAACCCACGCCGCCCCCCACGCCGGCCCCCAGCCCGCTCCTCCACCACCCCCACCACCCCCACCACCACTCTCAAGCCCATCATCCGCAGCTGCTCCAGCTTCCCTCCCCCTCCCCCGCCGCCCCCTCCCCCTCTTAAGCCCGGGAGCAAGAAGGCGCTGGACAAGGGGAGCCGCGAGTACCGCCTGCGCCGAGAGCGCAACAACGTGGCGGTGCGGAAGAGCCGCGACAAAGCCAAGCTGCGCAACGCCGAGACCCAGCAGAAGGTGCTCGAGCTCAGCGGGGACAACGAGAGGCTCCGCAAGAGGGTCGAGCAGCTCGGCAGGGAGCTCCAGGCCCTCCGGGGGCTCCTCCGCCACCTCCCCGAGGGACAGCTCCTCAAGGCCATGGGCGCACACGCATGAGACCCCCCCCCCCCCAAGGCAACTTGGGGCTCCTCCACTGGGACTCCCCACCGGCTGGACTGGGAGACTGCACTGCAGAGATTGGGACTCTCAACTTGGGGCTCCTCCACTGGGACTCCCCACCGGCTGGACTGGGAGACTGCACTGCAGAGATTGGGACTCTCAACTTGGGGCTCCTCCACTGGGACTCCCCACCGGCTGGACTGGGAGACTGCACTGCAGAGATTGGGACTCTCAACTTGGGGCTCCTCCACTGGGACTCCCCACCGGCTGGACTGGGAGACTGCACTGCAGAGATTGGGACTCTCAACTTGGGGCTCCTCCACTGGGACTCCCCACCGGCTGGACTGGGAGACTGCACTGCAGAGATTGGGACTCTCAACTTGGGGCTCCTCCACTGGGACTCCCCACCGGCTGGACTGGGAGACTGCACTGCAGAGATTGGGACTCTCAACTTGGGGCTCCTCCACTGGGACTCCCCACCGGCTGGACTGGGAGACTGCACTGCAGAGATTGGGACTCTCAACTTGGGGCTCCTCCACTGGGACTCCCCACCGGCTGGACTGGGAGACTGCACTGCAGAGATTGGGACTCTCAACTTGGGGCTCCTCCACTGGGACTCCCCACCGGCTGGACTGGGAGACTGCACTGCAGAGATTGGGACTCTCAACTTGGGGCTCCTCCACTGGGACTCCCCACCGGCTGGACTGGGAGACTGCACTGCAGAGATTGGGACTCTCAACTTGGGGCTCCTCCACTGGGACTCCCCACCGGCTGGACTGGGAGACTGCACTGCAGAGATTGGGACTCTCAACTTGGGGCTCCTCAACTGGGACTCCCCACCGGCTGGACTGGGAGACTGCACTGCAGAGATTGGGACTCTCAACTGGGCAGACTGGGAGCCCAGAGTGCAGGGACTGGGGCTTCTCAGGCAGGAGACTTGGACTTCTCAACTGGGAGACTGAGGTTTCTGAACTAGGAGACTGGGACTCTCAACTGGGCACACTGGGAGCCCAGAATGCAGGGACTGGGACTTCTGAACTAGGAGACTGGGACTCCCCACTGGGCAGACTGGGACTCTAAACAGGCTGAACTGGGAGCCTGGAGTGCAGAGACTGGGGCTGTTCAGGCAGAAGACTGGGACTTCTGGACTGGGAGGTTGAGACTCTCAACTGGGCAGACTGGGAGCCCAGAATGCAGGGACTGGGGCGTCCCAAGCAGGAGACTGGGACTTCTCAACTAGGAGATTGGGACTCTCAACTGGGCAGACTGGGAGCCTGGAGTGCAGAGACCGGGGCTTCTCAGGCAGGAGACTTGGACTTCTCAACTGGGAGACTGAGGTTTCTGAACTAGGAGACTGGGACTCTCAACTGGGCACACTGGAGCCCATAGTGCAGAGACTGGGACTTCTGAACTGGGCATACTGGGAGCTTGGATTGCAGAGACTGGGGCTGCTCAGGGAGACTGGGACTTCTGAACTGGGAGATTGGGACTCTCAACTGGGCAGACTGGGACTCTAAACAGGCTGGACTGGGAGCCTGGAGTGCAGAGACTGGGGCTGTTCAGGCAGAATACTGGGACTTCTGGACTGGGAGGTTGAGACTCTCAACTGGGCAGACTGGGAGCCTGGAGTGCAGGGACTGGAGCTTATTGGACAGGAGACTGGGGTTTCTGAACTAGGAGACTGGAACTCCCAACTGGGCAGACTGGAGCCCAGAGTGCAGAGACTGGGGTTTCTGAACTGGGCAGACTGGGAGCCTGGATTGCAGAGACTAGGGCTTCTGAACTGGCAGACTGGGAGCTCAGAGTGCAGGAGACTGGGGCTTCTGAACTGGCAGACTGGAACTCTCCACTGGGCATACTGGGGGCCTGGACTCCAAAGTGGGGAGACTGGGGCTTCTGAACTGGACAGACTGGGACTCTTAACTGAGCAGACTGGGAGCCTGGATTGAAGAGACTGGGGCTTCTCAGGCAAGGCATTTGGATTTCTCAATGGGGAGACTGGGACTTCCAACTGGGGAGACTGGGAGCCTGGATTGCAAAGACTGGGACTTCTCAGACAGGAGGATGGGACTTCCAACTGGGCAGACTGAGAGCCCAGAGTGCAGGGATTGGGACTTCTCAGGCAGGAGACTGGGGCTTCTGAACTGGGTAGACTGGGACTCTCAATTGGACAGACTGGGAGTCTGGATTGCAAAGACTGGAACTTCTCAGTCATGAGTCTAAGACTTTTTAACTGGGAGACTGGGACTCTAGCTGGGCGGACTGGGAGCCTGCATTGCAGAGACTGGGGCTTCTCAGGCAGGAGACTGGGACACTCCACTAGGCAGACTGGGAGCTCAGAGTGCAGGGACTGGGGCAGCTCAGGCAGGAGGATGGGACTTCTCAACTGGGCAGACTGGCAGCCCCGAGTAGAAACTGGGGCTTCTCAGGCAGGAGACTGGGACTTCTGAACTGGGAGACTGGGACTCTCAACAGGCTGGACTGGGAGCCTGGAGTGCAGAGACTAGGGCTGCTCAGGCAGGACACTGGGACTTCAGAGTGGGGAGACTGGAGCTTCTGAACTGGGAAGACTGGGAGCCTGGATTGCAAAGACTGAGGTTTCTCAGGCAGGAGTCTAAGACTTTTTAATTCGGAGGCTGGGACTCTTAACTGGGCAGACTGGGAGGCCAGAGTGCAGAGACTGGGGCTGCTCAGGGAGAAGACTGAGAAGGGAAAGCAGGCCAACTGGGACTTCCAAGCCAAGATCTCTGGAGAGTAGGGAGTCTGGGCCTTCTAAGACAAGAGTCTTTGGGGGGCTGGCAGGCTAGGATTGCAGAGACTGGGACTCCAACATCGGACCTCTCCCCTTGCAAGGACTGTCGAGCTGCCACATTTCCCCCCTTTGTCCCTCCTTTTTATGCTGCAAGGCTACTTCTTTATTAATCCCACCCAAGATGGACTCTGGAGCAGGTCTGTGGGGCCAGCGGGTTGTCCTTTAGGGGCCTCACTGGAGACAAGGCCTGGCTCGGTGGACTTCTCCAAGGGGCCCCTTCACTGTCCAACGAATGCACTTTGACCAGCTTTCATGGCTTGTTGCTACGGGATCCTGGGAGCTGTCGTTTTGCAAAGTCTTGCCTGCCAAAGAGCCTCCAGAAAGTGCAACTCCCAGGATTGCATCGCATTGCAAACTGCATTCGCTCTACATTGAACGTGCACCCACAATCTTTGGCTGAAACTCTAGATGAAGCATGGGCAAACTTGGGCACTCCTTCCAGGTATTTTGGACTTCAACTCCCACAATTCCCAACAGCCTCAGGCCCTTTCCTTTCCCCCCTCAGCCGCTTAAGGTGAGTGCTGGGCCCATAACCAATGTTAGGTGCTGTTGCTTATGCAGAATGCAAGGAAGCTTCCTCTACAGTTGGCATAGGCAAACTTGGGCCCTCCCTCCAGGTATTTTGTACTTCAACTCCCACCATTCCTAACAGCTGTTGGAGCTCAGCTTGTGACTGTGTTTCAGGATCGGGGTGTCAATGAGGTTTGAGATGAGTTTCAAGATGGCAATGGTTTGTTCAGTGATATTGATGCAGAAAATGACCAGGAGATCCCTGTAGCTTCCCAGGAGAATGGCCCTAAGGCAGTGTTTCTCAACCTGGGGGTCGGGACCCCTTGGGGGGTCACGAAGGGGTGTCAGAGGGGTCACCAAAGACCATCAGAAAACACAGTATTTTCTGTTCGTCATGGGGGTTCTGTGTGGGAGGTTTGGCCCAATTCTATCATTGTTGGGGTTCAGAACCCTCCTTGATTGTAGGTGAACTATAAATCCCAGCATGTCAAAGTCTATTTCCCCAAACCCCATCAGTGTCCACATTTGGGCATATTGATTATCCGTGCCAAGTTTGGTCCAGATCCATCATTGTTTGAGCCCACAGTGCTCTCTGGACATAGGTGAACTACAACTCCCAAACTCAAGGTCAATGCCCATCAAACCCTTCCAATATTTTCTGTAGGTCATGGGAGTTCTGTGTGCCAACTTTGGTTCAATTCCATTGTTGGTGGAGTTCAGAATGCTCTTTGTTTGCGGGTAAACTGTAAATCCCAGCAACTACAACTCCCACCAACCCCACCAGTATTCAAATTTGGGCATACCGGGTATTTGTGCCAAAGTGAATGAAAATACATCATGCAGATCATTATTTACATGGTGATTCATAATGTTAGGGTTATGGTTGGGGGGTCACCACAACATAAGGAACTGTATTAAGGGGTCACGGCATTAGGAAGGTTGAGAACCACTGCCCTAAGGGGTGTGGGGATGATGGTGTGCTTGAATTGTTCCCAGAGGTTTCCCATGAGAGAGAACAGAAAGTTAGCTCAGCACCTGCAGAAATTAATGAGCAGGTAGATAACGAGCCAAGAGATAGGTGATAAGAGATTAGGCTCTTATCTAAGGGCTGAAAAGTGGCTTCGCCGATCTGCCCGGCTTCGATAAAAACAATAACAAAGCCTCAACTAAAGAGAAACCAGTTTCTGACCGCTAGTGACCTAGCTAACAAGGGGATAAAAGTCTCAAGTTTGGGATGTGTAGTCAGATGAAGCATCGTTTAGAATCACGCCAAGTTCTCGTCTTTATTTTGCTTTGAAGTTTCGTGCTAAGATATTTCTTGTTCATAGTTTTGGATTCCTGTATTTCATGATTGCTCAAAATATTCATGATTTTTGGGTTGTATTGGCGATGTGTGGATTTTGCTTTTATGGACGTTGCTCAACTCTACCTTGGGCTAATTTGTTCCTGCTTATCTTCTTACCTAATTGGATTTACCTATTCCTTTTAAGTGCTTTTTACTTTGCTGTGTATTGGAGATGTGTGGATTTTGTTTTTATGGACGTTGCTGAACTCTACCTTGGACTAATTTGTTCCTGCTTATCTTCTTACCTAATTGGATTTACCTATTCCTTTTAAGTGCTTTTTTACTTTGCTGTTTTTTACTTATCTTCAGTAAAAGGACTGGTTTTTTTTCTTTTTCAACGTGTGG